ATTAAGTCATTCTTTGACTCTGGTAAGCTTCTATCTGAGATTAATAACACCATCATAGCTCTTATTCCTAAAGTTCCTAATCCCATGCATGTTGGTGACTACAGACCCATTTCTTGTTGCAATACCATTTATAAATGCATTGCTAAGATCATAGCTAACAGAGTCAAATTGATGCTCCTTGATCTTATTGACCCTGTGCAGTCTGCCTTTGTTCAATGTAGAAGAATCTCGGACAACATCTTTCTGTCCCAAGAGATAATGAGAGGTTATCATAGGAGTTCTAAAACTCTCAAGTGCGCCATGGAAGTGGACATCATGAAAGCTTATGATAATGTGAGGTGGGATTTTATTCTTGATATTCTTAAAGCGATGGCTTTTCCTGCTTGCATGACAAATTGGATAAAGGCTTGTGTTACAAGCCCTTCTTTCTCAATTTGTATTAATGGGAGCCTTCACGAGTACTTTAGAGGGGCAAGGGGGCAAAGGGATGGTATGGAGATTTAGGCAAAGGGATCCTATGTCCCCGTATCTTTTTGTGTTAGTTATGGAGATTTTAGCTAGGATCCTTGCTGAAATATCTAGGAGCCCTTTGTTCAAGTTTCATTGGAGATGTGAGAAAACCAAAATTGTTAATTTATGTTTTGCTGATGACTTGATGATATTTAGTAGAGGGGATCCGGGTACTGTTAGCCTCATCATGCAGGGTTTGGAGGAGTTTAAGAATTTGTCGAGCCTAACTGCTAGTCCTAGTAAGAGTAATATCCATTTACTCGGGGTGTAGTAGGGAACTTAAAGAGGACATATTGCATATTGCCAAATTTACTGAGGTTTCCTTCCCTGTGAAATATCTGGGTGTGTCGTTGATAACTACTAAGCTTAAAGCATCCGATTGCCAAAGTTTGATTGAAAGAATAACTAAGAGGATTAAAAGCTGGACAAATAAACTTCTGTCTTATGCGGGTAGAGCCTGACTCATCCAGACCATTCTTTTTTCGATGCAAGTTTATTGGTCCTCCATTTTTATTCTCCCTAAGAAGATTATTCGTGATATTGAGAGCCTTCTTAGATCCTTCCTTTGGTCTGGGGTTGAGTTGAAAAAGCATAGTGCTAAGATTGCTTGGAAGAATATTTGCAAACATAAAAATGAGGGGTGGGCTTGGTTTCAAAGATATGGAGGTCTGGAACAAGGCTGCTATAGCCAAACATGTTTGGTTTTTGCTTTCTGGTGGGGAATGTTCTATGTGGTGCCAATGGGTTAAGTCTTACTTGCTCAAAGGTAAGAGCTTTTGGGGTATAAAGATGCCTAGTGATCCTTTATGGGTTTGGAGGAAACTTATGTCGCTTAGGCACTTAGTTTTCCCTCTTATCAAATTCAAAATTGGTAATGGGGAAAATGTGTTTCTTTGGTATGATAATTGGCACCCTCTTGGTTCACTGTGGCATAGGTATGGGCAGAGGATCTTGTATGATACAAACTTTCCTGACAGTACTAAAGTTAGCTCCATTGTATATAATGATTCTTGGAAATGGCCCATCTCCAATTCATGGGAGATAGAGGAGTGGATTTCTTCCACTCCACCTTCCCTTAAGCCCTCCATTGATTCTCTGGATACTCCTATTTGGAGCTTGACTGCTGATGGTACCTTTTCTATTCATTCTGCTTGGGATTGTTGGACGGATAAGGGCCCCAAAGTCTTGTGGTCAAAACTTATCTAGGGGCTTCCTTTAATCCCTAGGGTTAGCTTTGTTGTGTAGCTGGCTATTAATGAGAAGTTAAACACTGGTGATAAATTACAGTTATTTGGTCTTAACCCTAATCCTAGCTGCCCACTTTGTCATGCTCCTGAGGAAAACCATTCCCACCTATTTTTTAGGTGTGTTTATTCATCTAGGATATGGGCTGCTATCCAAACTAAATGCAATACTAATTGGCCTGCTATGCCTTGGTTGGAAACTGTTAAGTTTGCTACTAGATCCACTAAGGGCAAATCTCTGTAATTTGTGATTCTGAAACTATCATTTCTTTGCACTGTCTACCACATTTGGATGGAGAGGAATAGTAAAATCTTTAGTAAGGAATTCAAACCTCTTCTGTTACTAATTCTATTATCCAAATGGTTAGAGGTAGACTTCTTTCTATGGAAAATGTGAAAACTTCTGCAGGTGATAACTGGTATTTAGTGCAATGGAATCTGCCTCCTAAAATCATGCTGCAGCCACATGCTAATGCAGCTGGAAGGAGATTGAGTGGAGTGAGTTCACCTATATTGAGGGTCGAGTGATAGTGAGGGATTATCTAATGAGGGTGCTATTTTGAACATGCGTTCTTAAATATGTTCTCTCATCCAATCAGTTTATGATGGTCCCTAGATTACTATCAAGAATGGAGCGGCAGTATGGAAGGTTGAGTGATGTAAGCAAGAATATTAGATATAGTAATTGTGGGTTGAGTGAGGTCACTACTACAAAAATCACACTTAAAAGGTGTGATCTAAATATTATTAATCACACTTAAAAGATGTGATGAAAGCATTTTTTAATGACACTTAAAAAGTGTGATTAAAAATGACCATTTTTAATCACACTCCTAAAGACCACACTTTAATAAAACTTAAAAGGTGTGATTAAAAAACATCCATCACACCAAAAAAGTGTGATCTTTATCTATATTTGTAGTAGTGGGTGAGGCAATACATATATTTTGCTCTAACAATTATTATATATTATATATGTTTTGTGCAGGTTAAGGAAGCTATCATGTACACAATCCCTCTGTGGTTTCTGAGAGTGCATGTAAGCTATGGGCCTAGTGTTGTGAGATGCTATATGGAGTGGAGAGAGCTTTTGAGTTGTGGGTTGAGTGAGGGGAGCTCCCAAATAGAGTGTTTGATGTTTCTACTTCTCTATGACTAGTTATACTGTCTCGGTACTTCTCTACATTTTGGACAGGTATACTTACTCATGGACTGGTGGAGGGGTGGTGGCTGCTTGTTGCGCACTTCCAGGAGGCAACTAGTAGTTTGTATATGTACTGTGGTGATGGTTGCTCCTAGCGCCTTGTCGTCCTACATGTGAGTGATAATCAATTGTCTTACTTATTGTTTGTACAAAGTGTTTTTAGGTAATGCCGCCTACTCCTACGGGTTGTGTAGGAGGACTTTTGTTTATTTTGTTTATTTAGTTGTGTTGTTCCATAGGTGTTCGAGCAAAAATGACAAGCTAGGACTGTTTTGTTATTCCCACAGGTTCTTTTTGGGATTGTGTTTTTTAATGTTAATGGTATAGGAGCCTATTCCTATGGGCTGTGTAGGAAGGACTTAGATGGTGATGGTTTCATGTGCATTTTAATGGGGCTGCTGAACTAGTTTTCGGTAAAGACTGAAGTGATGAAACTACTATGCTACTCTTGTGATTCACATCCAATGCAGCTGGGTACTCTCGAAATTTGCTGTTCAAAGTTGGCAGCTGGTTATTCATATTGTACACGGACTCTATCCATTACAGGACATGGTTTTTGTATAGTCCAATGGCTAGTAACCATATAATGCTTTCTCGAGTTAGGGATGTAGTTTTTGGACTGGTTTCTAAAGTGTCTTGTTTTCGCTTTGAGTTCTAGTTTTCTTTGGTTATTGTTGCTGTGTTTCAGTGTAATGTTACCGAGGTTTGTGCTTTAGTTTCTTTGTTAGGGCCTGGGGTATGCCCCTTGTAATTTTGTAAATCCTTTGCTTTATTTAGTTCTTATTCACCCCCCCCCCCCAAAAAAAAGGGGCAGGTTTCAAATTCTTTAATGTTTTGCACACTCTAAACATAGGGACATCCTGAATATACTAGTTCCAAACTTTAGAAACCACAGGACCAAAGTCGTCATGATTATCCCAAAAGTCAAAATATTTAAAAGGTTTCTTAAAAGAAGTCCACTCATCAGAAACATTAACCACTGCAGGGGAATGATCAGATACGCCAGAAGGCAAGAATGTAACAAATGAGGCAGGGAAAGCATCATGCCAAGCCTTATTAACCAAGACTGTCAATTTTGGTAGAAATATAATCCCCACTATTTCTCTTGTTAGCCCAAGTGAATTGGCAACATTCATAGGAGAGATCAACCAATTCAAATTGCAGGATATAGGAGTTGAAATCCTCTTTATCCTTAGACCAACCAACAGAGCCCCCAAATTTCTCATAAGGAAACCTGATAGCATTAAAATCCCCTAGAAAAACAAGGGGAAATTTGGACTGACATTGGGATATAGTAACCATGTAATCAAAAAGTTCCTTTCTAACATCATGTTTATTATCAGCATATACAAAACAAACTCTGAAGATATTATCTTTCGACAAATCATGTACTTCACAAAAAATGTATTGATCAGAGGCCTTTAACAATTTTATCTTACAAAATGCTGAGTCCCAGCATACACATATCCACCCAGATTTAGAAGGTTGTGAGTTTGTCAAAAAGGGCCAATTATTTATACCAGAAGAGAAAATCTTATGTTCATTCAAAGCTTTTATTTTGGTCTCCAAAATGCCCAAAATTTTAATGTCTTCATGCACCAAAAATTTCCTTACTTCTTTATGTCTATGAGGGTTATTAAACCCTCTGACATTCCAAGATGCAATTTTTAAAGTCATTGGAAACCACAAAAATTTAGAAACCCACAACCAGCTAAAACTGGGATTTACCTGTGTTTCTTCCTATGGCTTTTGTTGCCCTTGCCAGAGGAGTTACCTTTTGCATTAGTGCCATGTTGGACCTTCTTGTTGGCTAGATTGAGGTTGCTTGGAGTGGATCCCACTAGATTCTCCACTTTGGCAAGTAGTTATGCATCCTTTGGAAGAGCCAAACTAGTTATCTCTACCAATTCCTTCTGCAAGGCCTCCAGAACATCAATATTAAGTAACTTTAACTCTCTGCCAGCTGGACTGGATACATCTTTATGGGCTTGACTAGATAAGCTCTCCTCGGAATCAACCTAAACTGGAACTAGTTGTTGACTCTACCCAACTTCTAGATTTTGTAAAACATCTTCCTCCGGCTCTACATGGCTTTCTGACACCGTAGGCATGTTTGAATCACCCACCTTCCTCTTACCCTTAGCTTTAATTGTTTCCCAACCAGGATCAGGATTATTCTCTGTTTCTTTTTGGATTTTGATTAGAGCTGCAACTTCAGTTTTCACACATTTGGTAGTGTCATGCCCAAAAACCATGCAATGCTCACACTTAGGGGGTAATCCTTGATATTCCACCTTAACAACCACATCTTCCTCTTCGCAGCTCACCTTGAACATCAATGGTAAAGTGGAAGTGGCTTCTACCTCCACACAAACTCTTGCAAAAGACACTCTACTACCCTTTTCTGTAAGTTGGTCCATGAATAATGGGATACCTACAACACTTGCAATATGACTTAATCCATCGCTATCCCAATACTCGAAAGGAACATTAAAGAATTTCACCCAAATTGGAACTTTAGTAGCCTTATCCTTAGTCAACCTCATCATTCGAGTCCACTTTTTCAGAAATAAATTAGATCCACCAATGTACCAGGGCCCTCCTTCAGGAACTGAACTACAACAGTCTGGGCTTTCAAAGATGAAAAAACTAAAACCATCACCATTGGCTAACACTTCTTTCAAACCCTTATTTTTTCATAAACTGAAGGCACTATTCCTCAGGTAGTTATAGGGAACACCCTTATCAAGAAAATACCCAACCAGACATGAATCCCATTTTTCTAAAGGGTTAGGCCGCGGAGGTAACTCAACACTAACATAGCCCTCACTACGGACAGGAGGAACATACCTCAGAGGGATGCTCGATCAAGTAGATAGAGCAGCCACTTCAGCCCATGATTTTGTGGATGACGCCTTGCCCTGACCTCTACCTCCCCCTTGCCCTCTACCACCTCTGTAGTTTGAAGTTCCCCCCCTCTGAGAGAGCATCTCCTCTCGACCACCTTCATCACTGATCTCAGGGATCTGAAAGTGTGTCTCATCGGTTATTTGCACAACTTCGACAGGGACAAGGTTTCTATCATTCTCCTTATCTAATGATAGATCTGATTGTAGGACCATTTGTTCACCATGAGCCTTTGCATTGTTCCTGTTTCGAGCAACCAAGATGCTATCTGGAAGGTTTTGAAACATAAGAGTTTCATATTCTGATCGAACCGACCATCGAGATGTCGATTGAGAAACATCTAGGGTAGGCGAGGTCATTACCGATGGAGAAGGAGCTTTTAATCTCACTAATCGATCGGCCACTCTTTGGAAATCTGATGAATCGACAATTTTAGCCCTTCGATCCTTTTGATTTAGGGTTATCCCCAAACGCTCAACGGCGCTAGACTGCTCTGGTACCAGATCAAGATCTTCGATGACTGATCTATATTTGCCATACTCAATATTTCAAACTTGTTGCTCACAAACCCTAGATTTCCAGACAACTTCCCCAACTGTAGATCTACCACATTAGTATCGCTCACCTTTTCACCCGAAGGACTCTCAGAAATAGTCAAAGCATTTACTCCTAAAATCGTGTTCAATGAGGGATTGAAACCCTAGAAATGCAAGTTTCTAGAGAGATGCAGGAGCTTCTCACTCTAACCCATTTAAAAATTCCGTTTATATAATTATAGCTTAAGGATGTTAGTTTAACTTAAGCACCTCATTTTAGGTTTCCTAAATCAACTAACTGTTCAATTCTCAAATCCAAAAGGATGAATTTGAATTCCCTTTGATTTCCATCTTGTTTCTTGTTCTTTTTTTCTGTCCAAGCTCTCAAGAAGAAAGTTTCTCTCTTCTCTCTTTCATTCTAGTAACTAATTAGCTTAGTTGGGCCCATAAATTGTTTCATTGGCTTAATTGGCCAAGTTTAACTCAAACTAATCTTGCTTAGCCTCTAAGAAAGAGAATTTTCTGAGTAATTGTAGCTTAACGATATTAGTTTAATGTAAGCACCTCAATTTAGGTTTTCTAAATCAACTAAGTGTTCAATTCTCAAATCCAAAGGGATGAATTAGAATTTCCTTCATTTTTCTTCCTATTTCTCATTCTTTTCTCTAACTTTCTCTCTGTGCTCTCAATAAGAAAGTTTTTCTCTAACCTTCTCTATCCTTCTCTCTTTCATTCTTGAAACTAATTAGCTTAAGCCACTAATTGCTTCACTTGCTTAATTGTCCAAGTTCAACTCAAACTAATCTTGCTTAACCATTATGAAACAAAATTAACGAAATAATTGTAGCTAAACGATATTAAGTTGAGAACCGTATTTTAGGTTTTCTAAATCAACTAAGTTTGCAATTCTCAAATCCAAAAGGATGAATTGGAATTCCCTTTGATTTTCTTCATATTTCTCATTCTTTTTTCTATTCTAGTTCTCAAGGAGAAAGCTTTTCTCTAACCTTCTTCGTCCTTCTCCATCCTTCTCTCTTTTGTTCTAGGAACTAATTTACGTAGGGCATTAATTGTTTCATTCGCTTAATTGGCCAAGTTTTACTCAGAAAAATCATGCTTAGCCTTTAAAAAATAGAATTTACTGAGTAATTGTACCTTAACGATATTAGTTTAACTGAAGTACCTCATTTTAGGTTTTCCAAATCAACTAAGTGTTCAATTCTCAAATTCAAAGGGATGAATTAGAATTTCCTTCGATTTTCTTCCTATTTCTCATTCGTTTCTCTAACTTTCTCTTTGAGCTCTCAAGAATAATGTTTCTCTCTAACCTTCTCCCTTTCATTCTCGGAACTAATTAGCTTAACCCACTAATTACTTCATTAGCTTAATTGGCCAAGTTTAACTCAAACTAATCTTTTTTAGCCACTAAGAAACAGAACTAACGGAGTAATTATACCTTAACGATATTAACTTAAGCACCTCATTTTAGGTTATCTAAATCAACTAAGTGTTCAATTATCAAATCCAAAAGGATAAATTTGAATTCCCTTTGATTTTCTTCATGTTTCTCATTCTTTTTTCTATTCTAGCTCTTAAGAAGAAAGTTTCCCTCTAACCTTCTCCGTCCTTCTCTCTTTTGTTCGAGGAACTAATTAGCTTAGGCCACAAATTGTTTCATTAGCTTAATTGGCCAAGTTTAACTCAAACTAATCTTGCCTAGCCTCAAAGAAACAGAATTTACTAAGTAATTGGAGCTTAATGATATTAACTTAAGCACCTCATTTTAGGTTTTCTAAATCGACTAAGTGTTCAATTTTCAAATCCAAAAATATGAATTTGAATTCCCTTTGATTTTCTTCATATTTCTCATTCTTTTTTTTCACTTCTAGCTCTTGAGAAGATAATTTCTCTCTAACCTTCTCCGTCTTTATCCATCATTCTCTCTTTTGTTCTAGGAACTAATTAGCTTAGGCTATTAATTCTTTCATTAGTTTAATTGGCCAAGTTTAACTCAAACTAATCATGCTTAGCCTCTAAGAAAGAAAATTTACAAAGTAATTGTCACTTAAAGATATCAGTTTAACTTGAGCACCTAATTTTAGGTTTTCAAAATCAACTAAGTGTTCAATTCTAAAATCAAGAGGGTTGAATTTTATTTCCCTTTGATTTTATTCATATTTCTCATTCTTTTTTCTGTTCTAGCTCTCAAGAAGAAATTTTCTCTCTAAGCTTCTCCGTCCTTTTCCATCCTTTCTCTCTTTTGTTCTAGGAACTAATTTACTTAGGCCACTAATTGTTTCATTAGCTCAACTAGCCAAGTATAACTCAAACTAATATTGCTAAGCCTCTAAGAAAAAGAATTTGCTGTGTAATTATAGGTTAACGATTTTAGTTTAACTTAAGTACCTCATTTTAGGTTTTCTAAATCGACTAAGTGCTCAATACTCAAATCCAAAATGATGAATTTGAATTCCCTTTGATATTCTTTCTACTTCTCATTATTTTTTCTATTCTAGTGCTCAAGAAGATAGTTTCCCTCTAACCTTCTCCGTCCTTCTACATTCTTCTCCCTTTTGTTGTAGGAATTAATTACCTTAGGCCACTAATTGTTTCATTAGCTTAATTGGCCAAGTTTAACTCAAATTAATCTTCTTTAGCCCCAAAGAAACATAATTTACCGAGTAATTGGGGCTTAATGATATTAACTTAAGCACCTCATTTTAGGTATTCTAAATCGACTAAGTATTCAATTCTCAAATTCAAAAAAATGAATTTGAATTCCCTTTGACTTTCTACATATTTCTTATTCTTTTTTTCTCTCTTCTAGCTTTAAAGAAGAAAGTCTCCCTCTAACCTTCTTTGTTCTTCTCTCTTTTGTTCTAGGAACTAATTAGCTTAGGCCGTTAATTGTTTCATTAGCTTAATAAGCCAAGTTTAACTTGAACTAATCTTGCTTAGCCACTAAGAAACAGAATTTATAGAGTAATTGTAGCGTAACAACATTAGTTTAACTTAAGCAACTCATTTTAGGTTTTCTAAACCAAGTACGTGTTCAATTCTCAAATCCGAAAGGATGAATTTGAATTCCCTTCGATTTTCTTCATATTTCTTATTCTTTTTGCTATTCTAGTTTTCAAGAAGAAAGTTTTTCTCTAACCTTCTCCGTCCTTTTCTATCATTCTCTCTTTTGTTCTAGGAACTAATTACGTAGGCCCCTAATTGTTTCATTAGCTTAGTTGGTCAAGTTTAACTCAATCTAATCTTGCTAAGCCTCTAAGAAAAAGAATTTATTGAGTAATTATAACTTAACAGTTTTTGTTTTACTTAAGCACATCATTTTAGGTTTTAAGAATCGACTAAGTGTTCAATTCTAAAATCCAAAACGATGAATTTGAATTCCCTTTTAATTATTTTCCTATTTCTCATTCTTTTTGCTATTCTAGCGCTCAAAAAGAAAGTTCTCTCTAACCTTCTTCGTCCTTCTCCATCCTTTTCCCTTTTGTTCTAGGAACAAATTAGCTTGGGCAATTAATTGTTTCATTAGCTTAATTGGCCACATTTAAGAGAAACTAATCTTGTTAGCCTCTAAGAAAGAGAATTTACTGACTAATTGTAGCTTAGCGATATTAGTTTAAAGCACCTCATTTTAGGTTTTCTAAATCAACTAAGTGTTCAATTCTCAAATCCAAAGGGAATAATTAGAATTTCCTTCAATTTTCATGCTATTTCTCATTCTTTTCTCTAACTTTCTTTTTGAGCTCTCAAGAAGAAAGTTTCTCTCTAATCTTCTACATCTTCTCTCTTTCGGTCTAGGAACTAATTAGCTTAACCCATTAATTACTTCATTAGCATCATTGGCCAAGTTTAACTCAAATAGTCTTGCTTAGCCACTATGAAACAAAATTAACAGATTAATTGTAGTTTAACGATATTAACTTAAGCACATCATTTTAGGTTTTCTAAATCAAATAAGTGTTCAATTCTCAAATCCAAAATGACAAATTTGAATTGCCTTTGATTTTCTTCATATTTCTCAATCTTTTTTCTATTCTAGCTCTCAAGAAGAAAGTTTCTCTCTAACCTTCTTTGTCCTTCTCCATCAT